TTGACAGTTTGTATTAAAGAGTTTATTGAAGAATAAAGAGCAAAAATCTGAACATTCAAATAATATCAAGGCTCTCTTTTCAAAATGCATAGTTTTATCAATTAAAACATCCGAGTAGTTTTATGTCAAAGAAGATTATTATTGTGGATAGAATGTACGTGTAAACAATTCACACAATTTTTAATTTGAGCACCAAAAACCGCTTGCACATATAATCTAACATACCGCCATTTGTTTAGTAACGCCACGGTATCGTCGGAGAATATGTCWKTTCTCCTCTGAGAAATTCCCCATCAATAATCGTTGTCTTTGGCGTTCACTTGTTTCTCGATTTGCTTGAGTCTTAATAAACTTAATTGTTTCGTCTCTCACGTTTTCCCTTTCAAGCCTGCGTTTTTCTTCACTTAGACTTCTTCGACGCTCTCTTTCTTTTCTTCTTCAGATAAAGATCGCTTTCCGTTAGCTACCCGTTGATTTTCCGACATTTAGCGCAGAAGTAAAGTATTTGAAAGGACAAAAATGGAGTCCTTGTGGTGAAAAAGTTGTTTCAACACTCCGCGAGCGCGCTTCCTTTTCCCGCCTTCTCAAAAGTAGCCAATCGGTTGATCAAAACTCAACTCCATGGGTTTACCATTTTTCCTTAGTTATGGTGCTCAGCTCGCGCGGGCCTTTGGACCGCGCGGGAGCTCCGCTATAACACTTTTCGGTATCCCAATCCACTCATACACCCTTATCATCCAATCATGATGAACCTTGTCATATKCCTTCKTATAGTCGTAAAACGCTACTGCCAAAWTTCGGTGATACTGTTTAAGTAATGGTCCGAGTAAGAAGCAGGCAAGCGAACGGCAATGGAATGCATGAAGGTGCTAATTGTGTATTGTATAATCCATCCATCTCATTGGTTAAAACATTAAAATTTGACAATTTCAAAAGTAATCGCATTTTTTTAATATTTTATTTAATATCTGATTCTAACTTTATAAAAGCTTTCCTCCAGCTGATCTGAGAAAAAATGTTAGCCAATCAGAATCGAGAAAATTTGCAAAACTGAATTGTCACCCTTGGTAGCCTGGCTTTCAAAATGGCGGACTTACGTGCTCGACGGGGAAAAGTTTATTATTTATTCTTCTTTGTCCTTGGGGTGATTTTCTGAAATCTCTTCGCTGGCTTTTGTGTATCTTGATCTTAAAAGGCCATACGCCGAATGCAATAATGGCCGCGCGGGGCTTGGGTCGAGATACACGAAAACGAGACTAGTCAGTCCTCGATCGAATGAKTTTTCCCGCGAATTTTTKAGTTTTTGTAAACATGGCTAGCGATTCACCTACTAGTACGATTGAACTCTGTGAAGACGACATTCCCGGGGCATCCCTTGAAGGAAGAAGCCCAGCTTCTTTAAAGAAAGAAGAACTACAGTTTTGGTTAAAATGTCGAGGAGATTCCCTGAAAGGTTTAAAAACACGAGCACAACTTGTGAAAAGGTACGTCAATTCACGCCGTGCGATGTATTGGCAGATGTTCTAACTTTGTCATTTGTTTTTCGCAAAATCATCATACAAATTGCCGATTATTTTAGAGAAAAAATACCTCGCGATAATTCTTAAAAAATTCTACTATTTTAATGACTACTTTACAAGATTTATCAAAAGAAATTTAGCGAGTGTTTTGTCCTGTTSGGGAGTTTGAAATTCGCGCTAAGTCAACCAAGATGTCTCTAAGAAAATGATTAGTCGCTTTAAGATTGTTTAAATTYGCTTGTTTGTGTAATTTTTTCATTCTAGAGTCGAAGAATACATATCATCTGGCCATCATTGCATCATTGTTGATCCTGATAAGGACAAAATTTACACAAGACGTAAAGCAAAGGCCGCGAGTTWAAACCCATCGAATTCAAAACAAAACACACAAAATGAAAAAAACTGTCGAGTTCCCAGCGGATGGTTGGTCTATAGATATTAAAAAAATGCCTCTATTCACTCAAGCCGAAGTCAACGAGCATGTCTCGAAAACAGGAAAAAAGTTAAATGCGAAGGGCATCAAACATTCTGTCCCTACAAGCATGAAAAAAGCCAAAACATTCTTAGAAGACGAGTACYTTAAAGACATTGTTGCTACAAGTGACAGTGAAAACTTCTTTCTTAAGTGTGAGTGCCACCATAGTTTTCGAAAGAATGACGATCCACATAAGTTAAGAATTGCTTYGTGTATTGTGAGTGGACAAGTAAAATATGCATCATGTTCTTGTGTGGCAGGCAAGAGTGGATACTGTAACCACATATTAGCTTTAATGCTTAAACTTTGCAAATTTGGTGTATATAGCTCAAAAACTACTCGTGATCTTGAGGATGAAGAAGACATGCAGCCAACATTGGCCTGCACATCAAGCMTGCAAATGTGGCATAAGAAAAGAAGGGGGGGACACAATCAATCCTGAGCCAATAATGGAAGTCACAGTGAAGAAAACAAAGCTAGACAAAATTGCTGAATCAAGTGAAAGAAAGCCTGGAGTCAAGTGCTTGTTGTATGAAACAAGGAACAATATACAATGTCAGTATGAAGACCAAAAAAGACTTCAATCTAGGCTATTGAAGTCTAATCCACAATTACCAATTAACCATATTGACTGTCAGTAGTGATCCTACTGATTATGTTCCTACTAAATTTGGCAAGAACCCCAAAGGGTCATATGCAAGTTATCAACTGGGATTCACTGAATCAAGTTTTAAAGTCTCCTGTGATATTAGTTGTGTTCCCAGAGTACAGGGTAATCAGCCAAGACAAGTTATATGTAGCTTTCCAGACTTCCCATTGCAACCAACAGAGGAATACAAAGTACCTGATGATCTCCAGGGTGATGAAAAAGAATTTATTCAGCACATTAACCTAAATGCAAATGGAATTAATGATCTTGAAAAGAAGACAACATCACAATCCAGCTCACAGGAATGGAAAAATGAAAGATCTTACAGATTTATAGCATCAAACTTTCACAGGATTGTTCAAAGAAAAAGAAATCATGACACTCTTGTAAAAGACCTATTGTATCCCAAGCCCTTCAAGTCAAGATACACAAGCCATGGCCTTAAGTATGAGCAAACTGCAATCAGAAAATATCAAGACTACATGTGTTCTATTGGAAAGSCTGTTATAGTGTTTAAATCAGGTTTGGTTGTAAGTCGATGTTCCCCCTTTCTTGCTGCATCTCCAGATGGCAAAGTTATTRACAATGGCTGCTGTGATAAATTTGGATTAATAGAAGTGAAATGTCCAGAAACAAAGTACATGGTAACACCTCTAGATGCCTGCTCTGACSCCAAATTCTACATGGAAGTTGCAAATGATCAATTGACACTAAAGAAAAATCACCAGTACTACTACCAGGTACAAGGCCAACTGGCTATCACAAGAGCTTCATGSTGTGATTTCATTGTATACACCAGCAAGGGAATGAGTATCACAAGAATTGAACATGACAGCCAATTCTGGGCAAGTGTGAAAGAAAAGCTAACATCATATTATTTTAAGCACTTCATAAGTCAAGCAAGCTCAAAGTTCAAGTCTCCTT